AAATTGATGCGATGTTTCACAGGAAGCCAATGCAGAGAACAAAGGACAGGAGTGATGTGATTATACTTCTTGGAGAGAGTTACAAGACGAGCAGCAGAGTAACAAGAACAAATTAAAATATGTACATACCAAGCATTGTAGTGTCTGGGGTCAGCCTTGATAGCCATTCTATAACAGGACATTGCACGGTCCAGTTCCTCTGTTAACACATACTCATGGCCCAGTAAAGTATAGGCATAAGTGAAGTTGGGATCTACTTGTACGGCACGCTGGAAGAACTTGATGGCGGTATCATGCTCTTTATGAAGACTGAAACAGTTCCCAGTCGCACACCATGCCTGTTTTAACAAATTGAATGATGAACATCAAAAATCAGGGTAGTGGGAGATTTTCAAGAGTTCACCATACAAATTCCAGTACCTAAATATATTGTACAGTCCAGTACTTGGAAGCATGCCACCAGTAGTTGGTGGAAAAATGAAAATTCTCAAGTACTGGTAGTTTTTTCATCCATCAAATTAATTATATAATTATACAGCTTCTCATTAATCCCATATAGGTAACCGTCCAATTATTTTCTTAATTGGACAGGTCTTGTTGATATGGGATTGATTATGCAGCTATATAATTAATAGGTAATGGGATTTCATGCTCCCCAATCAAGGGATAATTAGACTCGAAAAATTCCTCTGACTATCAAATTAGACTCGGCCTATGGCCTCATCCAGTTTTGGAAGTCCTCAGAATTTTCCACGTCCAATTATTTCTTAATTGGACAGCATGGAGTCCTATTACATATACTAATTAAATGTCTGTCACCCACAGTGGCTCTATTCAGTATTCCAGCATGCAGGATATGATGGATGAAATCTATTAAGAAGTAGTTAAGTGCTTTGGGTATTTGTCATGTACTTCTAACCTGAGGTGATGTTCTGTCGACTTCAGTCAGGTCTTGTGCTAATGATGAGAGAGCTACTTCCTTTTGTAGATGCCATAATGTTGTTGAAAATATTTCCATCCCTATTAGCATTCAAGATTATATTAATTGTATATGAAATGTTGTGAAAAGTCAAGTAATGATGAGATGATGAGATTGTGTACGCTATTATTTTACCTTCTAATCTTTTAGGATCTATTCGCTGAACCTCAGTGAAAGTTTTCTCAGCCTATACAAAAGAACATGTCGAGTAAATTGAATATGGTGATCATTAATAGAATATAGATGTCTGCTAATCGCTATATCAAACTCAAACACTAAAGGAAAACATAATATAATATGCAGCACAAAACGATGTATTGAGAATAGGTTGAATAGCATTCTCATTGATTTCATGTGATTTATCTAATTACACCATGGTCAAGCAAGATGGGGGCAGTTAGACCTGAAGCTTTCAAGCCTATTTTGAGAGGGATGCAGAGGCGCAATTAAAAAAACTTCAATTTTACATGATATAAATAATATAAAAGTCACAAAGATGCAACCACAATTCTGAAGTAAAGTCTAAAGTAAAAAATTAATGAAATCTCAAATCTGACACTGATTGAATAAAAAAAATTAGGATGATTACCATTTGATATTCAGCTGTTTCAAAGTAAGCACGTCCAACCTGAGTTAGAACCCAACCAGTATTGTATTGATGAGGAGGCAGATTAGAGAACAATATTAGAGCCTGCTTGCATTCATATGATGAAAGCTTTTGATATGCTGCACCAATTTGTCGAAGAAGAGACATTAACCCCTCTGTCAAGGAAATTAAGAATGGAACATTAATCACCTGAGATTATTATTTTACCATTACATTTACATTCTCTGAAAAAATATTCTTATTTAATGTGTTTTATCTGACATGAGAGTTCTTATGATAGTATTGTTGTATTGTATTATTCTATTTTATCTTGGCTTTTACCTCACATCAAATTAAAGTTAGATTAGGGAAGGAACATTGTCCTTTTCTGAGATAGCGAACATGCTGCATTGTAGTCTAGCTTTGGTACGAACATCTTTTGTCCATCTTGCCTTATATGGTGTTGTTTGTACCGAAGCTAGACCATAATGCATCCTTTATATCCAACTTAGTAAAGGCCTATGTTTTATAGTGGGAGAGGACAGGGGATTCACAGTTTAAGTTTTGAAAGATGGTTGTAGACCTCCCCCTTCCATTCAGTAAGAAGCTCATGACCCTCCTATAAGACAACAAGGCAGGGCTGTAGCCAGAATTGTTTACCAAGGCAAATTAGCCGCAAAGGCAGAAGCATGTAAAGGGTTCAAAGTAATTTTGAAATAGAGTCTTGGAAATGCGATTTCCAGAGTTTTGAGGGGCATTTGCCTTACACTGGCCTCACCCCTCCTCACCCCTGCAGGAAACAGCCCTCCCCCTCCCCCTATATAAATACCTTCCCTTAAATAAGAAATTACAAGAAGATAAAACATTAGGGATACTGTCACATTAGGGCTTAAAATAATAGCTGGACATTGCACAATGTCTGGCCACAACTGGGACTTGTCCAGTCAAATCTTTGCCTTGCCAGCCAATTTGAGCAGTAACGTTGAGCCAGAAATAAGGTATGACTAAGCTAAAATTAATTTGAGCTGGTCAACTGGTGACTGATTGGCCGTTATTTTAAGCCCTGCACAGGTTTTCCCCAATAATTATTCTATCCTTATGCAAGAGATTGCTGCCTGTAATGAACCTGATTCTCAAATAATAGCCTTATTTGACTTACCAAGACTGTTGTGTCCTGGGGTTCCCCTGACTAGCTTGTCTTGCTGTTCTTCTCTTGCTGTCTTTGTTTCTCCATGGATGACATTGGTCGTGCAGGTTCCTAATGGTTGTTGAATACTGTTTCTTGTTTGTCTCCGAGTCTGCATTGAATAATATAAGGACTTAAGTATAATTACACAGGTGTCATAGAAAATCAAGAGTGCTGATTGGTCAATAATTTCTTGATAACCACCTATAGTTAAATAGGATTTTAGTATTTTTACACGAGTGAATATAATAAATCCTGCAATTATATTCACAAACAGGTGAATATAGCAGTGAAGATATTTTTAAAAATGGCGACAAGCTGTTTTGTTGATAAAACGAAACTTTTTCTCTGTCATCTATTAAATTCACTTGTGTTAAAAATGCTAAAACAATTACATTCGCCAAAGGCAAAGTGAACATATTAACGGGAAATATTTAACTTGCCACTCAAATACTCAGGTCTTGGTAAATATTCCCCGATATTAACTTGGCCTTCACCGAATAATTAAGGAGTGAATTATATCGTTGAATAACCTTTGGTATTTGGTATTACAAATCAAAAAATTATGAATTTGTGTGCCACATACTGTACCTTCCTTAGTGTACTAGTTCTGGTTGTACTTCTTGGCTTCTTAATATCCTATAAACAAACAAATGAACCAACTTATATCACAAATTTCCATAACTAAGTCAATACAAATGCAACAAATTACAAATAAAATAATATAACAAACAATGGCACAACTAGACAGTTATATATAATCTTTATTTTACCGACGTGATTTCTTCATTAGAACTTGAATTCATGGTAAACAACCTAGTACTTCGTCTGACGGTTTTATTTCCTGGCGAAGATAATATCGACTGACTGGAAGATGTTTGTTGGGAGGCTCTTGTATAAATCAGAGATGAAGAAGTTGTTGTTTGAGCATTGGTTGATGCTGATTTGGTTGTTGTATCATTTCTTCTGACACCCTATAAAAAATTAAGATTCTGTATTATTATGATTTTAAAATATCAAACGTTGGCAATAATTGGTCAAGTGGGCTACCTGTGAAAGTGATGACCAAAGGAAGCCCAATAATTACCTTTTTCACAGGAGCTTTTGGTGTATGTCCAGTGTGCAGATCATTGGAAGAATGTACTGATGGTGATGGGGTAATATATGGCACTGCATTCTGATCTGTTGGTGTATCCAGTGGTATCATCCCAAAGCTATCAAAACAAATACATTTATTAGATCGTAATCTTAAAAGTATGACAGAGTCAGCAATAATAATGCATTAACATTTTACCTTGGAGTTAGTGGACTTGATGACTGATTACTACCAAGCAGATTTCTTCCCACTCTAGCTCTAACTCTATTCTCACTGATGGAACTCATAGGGGTGGGTGGAACCAGGAATCCACTATCAGACATTTCTGGTGAGATTCCACTACCAAAAGATGGTGTACTGTTTTCTGAAGGATCCAGGTTTTCTGTAGCCATGTACTCCTCTGCTTGTCTTTTGTTGTTGATGCTAGAGGTGCTTCCCAGAGTAGAAGTGGACAAACCAGTTGTCATACTCTCTCTGTGTGTCAGTGATGTGAAAATCTTGGGACATGCTGAGGTTTTAAAGTATTCAGAGGGATCTGGTTTCTCCCCTGGAAATAAACAATTGAATAAATAAAGTGAGTGAATGTACAAAGGGTTTTTGGTGAATAAAATGATCCCTTTTTAAGATATCCAAATAGGAAAGTCATCATGGTTTAGTTATTATGCTGCTGGGCCCGGCTGTAAGAAGCATGGATAGCACTATCCAACAGATAAATCTTATCCTGTGGATAAATTTATTGGATAACAGCATCAAGTTATCCATTGGATAGCGCTATCCAGGCTTCTTACAGCCGGGCCCAACAGCATAATAACTTTGCCACATCCTGAATTCTGACTGGGTATGCCACAAGTTCACCCATGTTTGTACCATTTGAAGTCTACATTATTTTATCTTAGTTATTTCTACAGTACTTTACGGTGTACATACCTAAATTGCAGAGAGCTTCAAAGGAGCTCCACAAACAGGGGTTGTATTTTAGACTACTTTTGAAACATTCAACTGCTCTCTTAGTTTGGTCAGATTTCCTAGTTAAATTAAAAATACGAGTTAGGTTAAATCAATTACAACAAGGTATGCAATAATTTCCTGTTGTGACTTTACTTATTGTATTGTATGTCTGTCTCTGGGCTTTCTGCTGCAAGCAGGGAAAAATTGAAAAGAAGAGAAAATGCAAAGCACAGGGGAGAAGCAACAAAGAACTCTACACACATACAATACCAAGTCTGGGAATTGAACCCTTGGTGAGAGGCAAGCTCTTTCACAACTACGCTATTCATCATTCCCACAAGCATCAAGAGTCAATAATAATCATCCAGCATGGTTTTGCTTCTAAAGATTCTCAATAAGCTTAGAAGCTGCAAATTACTATGAAATAAGACAACCTTTGTTTTTTGTAATAGGTGCTCATCAAATTACTTTATCATACCGTACCTGCATATTTGACCTAACATTGCCAGAGCATATCCTGCTGCATTTCCAAATTCACTAGCTATTGTTTCTATTGGTTTGCCATTTGTAAGACATCCTCCTGTTAATGCCATTTCTCCTTCAGAAAGCCTTAAAATAAAAAAGAAAAAGTGATATCCAGTTTTTGCACTACCTAGGTATCTCTAATATAGAGATGGATGGATTTTAAACAGATGGTCAAGTATTAACTGAAGGATAGAATAGTTGAATGGATAAATGAATGAATGGGATAAATGGATTAATAGATGAATGTATGAACTGAAGGATAGAATTGCTGAATGGATAGATGAATGAATGGGATGAATGGATGAATAGATGGGTGTATGAACTGAAGGATGAAATGGCTGAATGGATAGATGAATGGATGGGATGAATGGATGAACAGATGGGTGTATGAACTGAAGGATGAAATGGATGAATGTATAGATGAATGGATGGGATAACAGATGGGTTTATAAATGGCTGAAAGGGTTATTTGAATGGATATATGAATGAAGGAACAAATGGGTGTATGAACTGAAGGATAAAAAATGGCTAAATGGATAGATTAAAGGATGGGATAGATGGATTAACAGATGGGTGTATGGACTGAATGATTTGATATATGGATGAATATATGGATTGTAGAGTGAAGGATGAATGGATTGATAAATGGGATGGATAAGTGAATGAATGGGAGGAAAGGATGAACAGATGGACGTGTGGACTGAAGGATGGGATGGATGAATGGATGAATGAATGACCGAATGAGTGGGATGTAAAGAAAATGAATGAATGGGATGTAAAGAAAATTAACAGATGGATGTGGGGAATGAAGGATAATATGGATGGATGAACAGAAGAATAGATAGATGACTTACTTTTCTAATTCATAACAGCACTTAGCAAAGAGAATACGACAAAGTGGTGAGAGAGAACCCTTGCTTTGTAACAGTGAATAAGTGTTCTGTATCATTCCTCCTTGGTAATAACATGTTGCTAATAGATGAAGAGTATCAACAGAATTCACTAAAATGGAATCAAAGGTCACCAATTAAAAATACGACAAAAACTAACATTTGATTAACTTGCTTGACTGAATTCATAGTCATTGAAGAGTACAATGGTTTGGTCACAGAGGTAAAATTACTAACATTACTAATAACATGCTAAGATTTCCCAAGATTGTATTGGTGCAATGTGTCATAATACTAACTTGAGTATGATTTATATGATCATGAAAATAGTTGTACACTGATATAAAAATAGTAGCATCATAAACTAAATAAATGTTAGCATCATTAACCCCAAAAAGATGTAATGATAAGGGAATGTTCATTTTGTATGGGCATGGGTGAAGGGTGCCCCCCTTACTTAAATCCCACCAGCCCCCCATGCTCATAAAAAATAAATGGTCCCTTAATTATAATGCTTTGAAGAAGTTAGTACATGCATGTTTCTGTAGTCCTTATCATGTTACAGGCTGGCATCTTCTGTGGGATTTGCTTTTCCCAATCCCGACAAAGAATTAAAAAAGCAGTGGTGACCCATATAACCCACTATCTTAAATAATGGCATCATCTTGTTTAATCTTTATGATACAATTTGTTATTGCCTTTTTCCGTTAATGTGAAAATCATTTTGCAAGTACTTCTCATTTACATCTAAAATAAGATAATATAGTGTTTCTGTAGCTAAAAAGAGCTTCTTACCTTCAGAATACAACCTTTCTGCTAAAAATATTGCGTCTTTGTAGGCATAATGATGCAGAGCATTCCAAATAGATGCCTGAAAGCAAACCAATGTAAGCTTTAATATGTTTACACGTAAAGACGACTTCGGTCCGTGTAACACTCCACAAAGAGCTTTTCAATTTAGTTGGCGTGAATTGGACATATGAAATTTGCCTGATTTTTGAATTTTCATTCTTTATGATCATGTCAAAATTCGAAAATTATCTCATCGATGTCAATTTTCAATTTTCGAATTCAAAAATTAAAAATCAAAATATATATTTGAAATGACTTTTTGATATTTTGATTTTGTCCTCTGAAAACGAACTTTGGAAAAATATCCTGTAGACAGGGGGAGGTGAAGATTAGGCGGACTGAGGGTAGGTGGGTCCACTAACAACAACAACAATAATAAAAAACATAGAGGGAGGGGAGGCACCAAGAACTCACCTACTGACCGGACTTTTACGGCACGAGGTTTCTAGTTCGTAATCGTATCATCCCGGCTTCCACTTTGTAAAAAAAGGCGCGAGATTGAAGTATTGTTACTTGTGTTGATTTGAACGACATGGCTTCAAGCAGAAGTGTTTTAGATCCTTATGAGCACGAAATCAAACAGCTTATAGAAGATTTTGGATATACGCTTCGTGAAGTTGGAGTGTTTTTAACCGAGAATTATGGATTACAACGAGGATGTTCTGAAASGAATCTACAAGTCTTCTGTTCTTTGAGAGACATTCATCGGCAAGACTACGGTAGGAAAAATCAAAAATCACCAATCAGATAACAGTAAAGCTAGACGGAGATGAACTGATAACAGCATTAGCCAATGAGGTTATCGCGTTCTCACGCTCCATACTTGTCTTCCAAAGTGGCCTAGGTAGTATAGTCGAAGCCGGGATGATACGATTACGAACTAGAAACCTCATGCCGTAAAAGTCCGGTCAGTAGGTGGGTTCTTGGTGCCTCCCCTCCCTCTATGTTTTTTATTATTGTTGTTGTTGTTAGTGGACCCACCTACCCTCAGTCTGCCTAATCTTCACCTACCCTCAGTCTGCCTAATCTTCACCTCCCCCTGTCTACAGGATATTTTTCCAAAGTTCGTTTTCAGAGGACAAAATCAAAATATCAAAAAGTCATTTCAAATATATATTTCGATTTTTAATTTTTGAATTCGAAAATTGAAAATTGACATTGATGAGATAATTTTCGAATTTTGACATGATCATAAAAAATGAAAAGTTCAAAAATCAGGCAAATTTCATATGTCCAATTCACGCCAACTAAATTGAAAAGCTCTTTGTGGAGTGTTACACGGACCGACTTCCCATGTATAAGTCTATATGTAAACATAGGATCAGTTTGAAGAGATACAATAATATCATACAACGGTATAAACTTGTGATTAAGGTACAATTTATCTGAGCCAATATATCATATATCTAACTTTCAAACAAAATATTAACATTACTTAAATTTATAGCTTACACAACAATACAAACGAAATAATGTCAAGTTAAACCTAACGAAATATTTACGAACGAGTAAAGTTTCACGGCGTAAATTAGGACGATAAGCAATAATTAACTGTATATACATACTTTCATAAAGGATCTTATGTTAAATTTGTAAACGCAGAAAATTAAGTTTAAAGAACACAAGTTAATTCAATACTAAACGTTCGTTTTAGTAAAAGCGCGCCTTCTTCTGGATATAAGCATTCGCAACTGACAACAAATATCAATGAAAAAAGGTCGTTCTCAAAGTCATATTTCAAATTTTACTTTTAACTTACCCTTATGGGTTCCTCACAAACCATTCTCCATAAAAATACCAATCTTTCTTTCAATAATTTGTGTCTGTTTGGAAAAAATTTAGAATTTTCAAGCAGCCGCCATGAATGAACTACGCATGATCAGTATCGCTACCGCTGGTGGATAGTATGGCGGGAGCAAATAACAAAGGAAGCCCAACCAAAATTTTAAGTTGTGACGTTAATTTCTAACAAAAATTGTTAAAATAAAGCGAAAAATGTCCATAATTATTAACCTTCCACATGAAACTATTTGAACTTTAGGCAAAAAATCTGGTCATTAGAAAAATTAAGAAAAAATTTCTTTCATACAACAGTTATTTTATTTCGCACCGGAAAGTCGTTTTTCTTAAGGAAGTGAGTTCCGGAAAGAAACTGATTTATGTGTGCATTAATTTTTCAAATCCAGTCAAGATCTTCATAATCTTTCAAAGATCTTCAGCTGGTTATTCAAAACAGCACTTGCAATGGATTGTGGGATACTAGTGGAGACTTACTACGAGTTTTCAAAATCTGGTTAGTTAATTTGTGAAAAAAATTTCAAAGGTCGCGGAATTCAATAAGCTTAAATGTTTGATTAATTTAGTGATTTGCTTTTGATTGAATTTAACTATTTATCAAAAATACCAGTCGGTCTTTACATGTAAACGAGATGCGCAAAAAGGATGCGCATTTGCAAAGGTCAACTAGGCCGTACTGGCAGAGTTTGCAGTGTGGCAGGTTGGCGCCATTTTTTTGTAGTTAAGTTTTGATAATGACTTTTACTGCGCCTGTCAGTTATCTATTCCTGACGGTTGTGTTGCACTCTTTGCTAGAAATTGTGGCAGCTATCGACTTCAATCAGACCAAGGGTTGTCTTAATGGCCGCTTCTGCAACGCTAAGCTTATTAATGTTTGTTATGCATGGCCGTTGGAGGACCCTAGTTCCGCTTTCTAGTTCCGTTGGAGGTAAGTCTACTTTCTCGGTCAAAAAATGCCTTCTTTAATAGTCGTCAGAGTTTACCAGGCCAAGCTCATTGATAAACCTCATCAGTTATCGTTACGCGGGGCGGATCGTGAGTGCCGGACTAGCCATATTTGCCTTGATACCATCGCTGTCATCGTACTGCTGATAGCTCTGGCAGTAGTCTGCACGCCGGCAGAGACTATAGCCATTGCCTTGAAACTATCACTAATTGAGACTATTAGGGCCTATTCCTGAATTAATTGCTGTTGAGCAAATTTTGTCCCGCCCTCCCATTTTTCGTCGGGGCAAAGCACTGGCTGGGTCAGTGCATGTGTAATGTGTATCGGGAGCTGTGGCCCAGTTACCATGGTTAAGGCCTTAAAAAGCAGCCCTCCTAGAGTGCACGCACTAAACCCGTGAATAATATTAGTACTAATTAATAGTAATTCATACAGATTCCTTTGTTTCCTATTGTTTGATTATCACTATTTTGTACAAAAAATGGTATTTGTTTCACAGCTAGGTTTAGTGCAAGCACTCTAACCTTATACTGAGTTAATAATAAAAGTTACTCAAATAATGGTAAAAATCAATGGTAGGATTTCTTTCTTTTTATTCAAATTAATTTGAGATATATACTCAGTTATGAATATAAATATCACACTTTATTAAACAAACATTGACCAAAACACTGAGCATTAACTTATACTATTAACTATTTTAGAACAAATCCATGTCATAAGATTATAGCTAAACGAATCTAAGAATAATATAGGATTTCACAACAGCTATATCATTGGGTAAGAAGAATGTAATGGATTTTTGAATGAAAAAAATCTCCTTTCCTAAGCCAAAAACATATTTTTTTGACCTTCAATTGTTATTGTTTTAAGACTCCTGATGAACAAGAATTATCAATGACAACTCTGAACGTAGAAGAATTAAAAGGTAATTATTAAATTCAATCTTGTGTATGTACTTGTATATTATATTAAATATAAATACCACACTTTCTCATACATTAACCAAAAGGCTAGGCATTAATATTATTATAGTATATACAATTTGAGAACAAATTCATGTTTGAAAAAATTATAGCTTAACGAACAACTAAAGTAGAGTGACCACAGTAAATCTGTGAAACTTTAGTAATGCTAAATTAGCACAATTTCATGCAAATTCCATTGTTTTCTATTGTTTAACTAGCACTATTTTGTACTATTAATTAGTAATTAGTGTTTCACGGATTTACTGTGGTCACTCCACTATTTAAAATTTTATCTACTAGAGTGAAAACAATTAATCCGTGAAACACTAATTACTAAATAGTACGAAATAGTGCTAAATAAACAATAGAAAACAATGGAATTTGCATGAAATTGTGCTATTTAGTATTACTAAAGTTTCACGGATTTACTGTGGTCACAATAGTATTTAATAATCAAATATTATAGCTGACTCCAGAAAATTTCAGCCTTCCTAATTCAGAGCAACACAGGTATTTGTCATAAGGATGAGTTCCAAAAACCATATCATTTGCCCTTATTTTATCACATGTAATGGATTATTTTCTTTAAGGAACATTTTGTACTAAAAGGCCGTTCATTCTATTACAGATTATTGAATATAAATTGGAAATTAAATCTGTGGTTCCACAACAGTTATATTGCAGAATAAGAAGAATTAATGCAATGCATTTTTGAATAAAAATTTTCTTACCTATATGTAAGCTGAATGATGATCTACAATGTCACTGTTGCAAAACTCTCTTATAGACAAACAAGGATTAACAATGTCAACTCTGAAGGAAAAAGAATTGAAAACTTCTCTGTTCCATTGAATTATATATTTGTTTACATACTTATATACATCTATGAAAGTTTCTTTACATGATTTTATTTGCATATTATTAAAAAAGTATATAAAATATAGAGAATTGTTGCAAATGATGTTTATAAGATTTTTAAATATAGAAATTTTCTTGTCAAAATTAGAAAACCTGATCTGACCCTGTTGTCAAGGATTGCGATGACACCTGTTTTCTGCAATTAACATTCACAATGTTAATTATTTTATTCTGAAAAATCTTAATGACTTGTTGTCTGAGACTAATACGAAAATTTAAACCTCAATTTATATTAGTTATAAATTTAATTTCACCTCTAACTCCCTTGAGGCGACTGGTGTCTGACTAAGTATTACATATACTGCATTAATTAATAACAGGTTGGTCCTGATCAGATTTCATTATTTATAATTCAAAGCCATTCATTTCAAAAGATATGACCATTATAATTTTTTGTATAACTAATAAACGCATGTATTATTCATCATATAAACTACTTTGAAAATTAGTAGGCATTAACTTTGCATCAGAATGTCTTGTAAGATTTTTATGAGGCTATTTAGACCAAGTAAGTAACCTTCATCTGGGGCCCCATCAAGAGAGTCGTTAATAGGGTCCATCTCTGTCCTTCCATGTCCATGAAAAGATCGTGCAAAATCAATCATCTTCACACCTACTTTTTCACTTGCCAAACCAGTCATATCTGTTTGAATTCCATTGAGTGTTAATTGTGTTTCATTCACCAATGGCATTTCTTGATTCCTGTCAAAAGAATTCAATGCTTCATCCATGTCACTACTCCGTGCCCCATTTGACTGTGTGTTTTTGACTGAAGTAGCTTTGCTTTCTGTGGAAATCCCATTTACATGTCCTTCATCAGTAGTGTTTTCCTCAAAGCCCTCATAAATCAGCAAGAGTGAGCTCGAATAGAACCTAGAATCCTTTTGCTCCTCGATACATGCATATAGTTGCTGGAGCTGATTTATGAATGCAGCTATGACCTTTTTCCGTATGTGTTTTCCATTGTGTAAAAATCTAATAAATTCATCTTTAATACTTTCTTCAGTGACCTGGAATCCATAATATTTGTCTTGATATACATATTTATTGCTCTTGCCATCATAAGCCTAGGAAAATATATAAACCAGAATGGAGTTTAATGAATGTGGACATGGGAAAAACATATGCAAAATATTCACTTCATTGCATTAAATAATATGGTAGTTATGGCAACTTAAATTTAGTTGCATCCAATTATTATTTTCTTCACACCTCCTCCAACTCCTTCCCCTGCCCCACCCCACCCCGCACTGACATCGGCTTGACTATATATTAATATACTATCAACCATACCAGTCCTATACGATATATCCTTTGTGAATTACTAAAAGCATTACTACTCTACAAAGTAGACCGAGGCAGTTAAGTGATTTTATTGCCTTTCATAGCATCTGTTATGTTAACCACAAGTGCATTTCAAATCAACAAGTTTTCTACACCACATGACAAAAACTTTACTGCACTTGACAATCACGTGGTTTTATAAAACTTGTCCATGTGGTACGAGATTGGCATCACGTGGTCATTTTAAATTGCACTTGTGGTACATATATAACAGATGCTACAAAGGTGATAAATAAATAACAACTCCCTTGGTCTCTTGGTAAGAGTAGTAAAATTGTTGAAGGTCCTAAAGGGTCAAATCAGGGCTTAGTGCTTTCTTCTTAGAGGTGTGGTAATAGTGGCAAAAAAAATCATGCAACTCATTTGTAGATGACCTTAATTCTATTTCATGCAACAAAGAATACACTATATAGCTACTAACCTGTATGCCGGCTATCCTCAGTCCAAGCGACTTAGATGTTGAAGCATTCCACTTAGCTGCCTGTCTGTTGTATTTCTCTAGGTTAGCATAGTCTTTGTGCATTTTGTCACCCATTTTAAGGTCCATAATACATGGAAATCTAAAACTGCTCACAACATCTTCCATTAATATGAAGTCTACAAATAAAAAAACTACATGTTAGGTCAAGACATAGTTGTTGATTCAAAAGTCTAAAGACTTGACATAAAATATTAATCTAAGAGACCATTCATTATTTAATAGAGAAAGGGGGATCGGCAAGAAAACAGGTAACCTGCAATCCTGCCATTCACCTTAGGGGAAATTCATTCTTTTTTCAAATTATAAGCAACAAGCTATATAATTTTTAACATGGCATAAATATACTTGTATGGAAATAAAAATATTATTACATGCTAGACTAGATAGTATGATTCAGTCTCTTAAAGTCATCATGGCTAAAGATAACAGCAGGTTAACAGATGCCACACTGCTCTCATTAGGCCAGTCAGTCGCATTGACTGGTCACAAGTTGATTAGTCCAATGTGCAAGTGGCAAGGGCATGAGCCATTATTTGTGGCTCTGATAATATATACCAAATGGATCAGATAAGGGCTTTATTTTCAACAATCTCAGTGGCTCCCAATCACTCAGTCCTCTTTTTGATTAAAAATGACATCTTAAAATGTTTAAAACTTTACAGTGAAACTTTTTGTAATGTTGAACATTTTAAGACATCATCTGTGAACAATAAGAGGACAGTTAATGCAAATCTATAAGCTATTCATTTAATTTTCTCACAATAAACGATTAAGGTCAAAAAACGATCAAACCCAGATTAACCTAGAAACCTAGATTGTTAAGCCTATTAATACCTATTGGTTTACGCTTTTTGATGTTTTCCTTCAGTTTCTGTTGATGAAGACCATGACAATAGAATGTCCAGGGATTAACAGCACCCTCTGTCCAATAGAACAAGAATACAACATGATCATTTTTAGCTATACTAATCAAGATGAATTGTGGTCCCAGCATGTGAGTGGACTTGGTTAAGACTCTTCCTTCATTCAAGGGTTTGTCTCCGCAGGTTTTACCAGCTTTAAATTTTCTAACTCAATCTGCAGCTTTTTTTTAGCTGCCCTACATGTGGCCTCTCTTGCATAAGCATGGCTTAAACCTAATGGCTGGACACCAGACAGTGCTGCCCAGAATTGGAATTTGTCTGGTCAAATCTTGTCTGTCATTTTGACCAGTAACGTTGAGCCAGAAACAAGAGATATGGCCGAACTAAAATTAATTTTGCCAGTCATCATGACTGGCGACTGGGTTTACTGTATTTTAATCCCAGCATCAGCTAGACATCGTTTTAGCATTTATTTTTAAATTAGAAATTGAAGGTATATCGGGACTTTGACTTGCGTTTCTGATCCCAAACCAGGGCCGTAACCAGAACTCTTACAGGGAGGGTGCACATTGAATAAAATCGAAAAAAAGGTAACCAAAAGAAAGCAGAACAAAAAAAAAGGATGAATGAGCGGACCGGACCTTAAGCTTTTATGGGGGGGTGCACGTGCACCCAGTGCTCCCCCCTGGTTACGGCCCTGCAAACCTTAACTGTTATGTACCAATCACTACCATATCATATGCATATTGCAGTCCAGATGCAATAATCAAGTACATCAATCTGAACGATTGTAAATTTATTGATAATTTTGTACGCTATGCATCACTAAAAATAGCACACCTGCTTTATTCTCTGCCTTTTCTTTTGTCTCGTTTGAGACCTCATCATTCTCTTCTGAATCCTCGTCAGCTGTTGAATCAGTATCTTTCTCATCAAGATTATGGTTTACGTCAGCAGCATCACTAGATTGTTTCGTTTTTGTCACCAACTGGATTTTCTCATCATCAGTAACTTGTACATCAACCTTGATCACACCTGTCAGAGGTTACATATACCAACATAAACAAAGCATTACAGTGACATCTGTAACGAGAGGTCCCAGGGATGTGGGTTGTATACCCCACCCCTTAAAAAAGACACAATTATCATAATCCAATTATAAATAGTACACAAACAGTGGAGAAATTTTAATTCTAATTTAGACTTTTGTTTCTTAATATTTAACCCTGGAGGAACCTAAGAAAAACAGATTTGGGTCTTGTGGGAGCTAGCATACACTGTTAGTGCATCATCTTTCATCACTGTGATCAGTCTAATGGGTTGAAAACGCTAGTTCAAGCCCTGCGGTGTCATGTTATAGAGTTTGTTTAAAGGGGCACTTGAATGAAAACGTCCCAATTTTTCAAAGTCCGAATAATTGAAGTATTTGAGGATAATTTGACTCAACTATGATTACGTAAACCAGATTAGTGAAAATTTTTTCGCCTGGGAGTCACTTGCAGTTGAGAAATTTTGGGTTAAGAGAAAAAAGAACAATAATGTTGAGTAAATGACGACATTTACTCACAATTTATATGCTAAATAAAATTGATAATTCTTATCTGAGACATTTTACTGTGAAGAAAATATGTTCCTTGGCTACGATTGATTGGGGCCGTATACATACATTTAATTAAGTTTAAAGTCATTTCCAATTTTTATCCATTTTCATCCAAGTGCCCCTTTAATGTGTTACTTGCCACAAGGCTTTTTCTCTAGGTACTCTGGTTTTCCACCCTCCATAAAAATCACATGTAACTTGAGAGTTGTGTGTATAAAATATGTTCAGAGATGTAATCCAAGTATAGATAAAATGATTATTATTATCATTATTATAGTGTAGTTTGTCTGTGCCTTAACATTTAAGCAATGGGGGTAAAACTTCTAAGAGAGTTTGGTCAAATACTCAAGCAAAGCTGGGACTAGTGAATTATTGCTAGTAACAAGCCCTCAGGGGTACTTAAATAACTTTCCTTTTTTGGCCCCCACTTATTTCTACGACCAATATCATCATGTTTCAATTTGTAGTTGCAATTAATTAAGAAATGACCTACGCTTGGAGTGAATCGCATTTTTAATGAGAACATTTTAATGATTTTTTTCCCCAGCGTTGAAGTCGATTTTTCCCCCCTGTATTTTATTCATAAAATCAAACGCCGACGTTATCTGAGATAAAAAGGCTTAATACCTACAAGCTCACCAAAAAATAGCATTCAAGATGCATTTTTTAATGTTTTCTCACAAGTAGGAGCCTTTAATTCTCTCTTTAACAATGAATTTTGAGATTTTAGACACTATAAATAATCGACTCTCAACCTAGATAGCAAAGCTAAACTTCCTTACATGTAAAACGTTGCACTACGACGTGTTGATTCTTGCAAGTATCTTTAAGAGCTGTTTATTTACGGTTTTATTGTTACTGAGGAAAGAATAAATACTATATATGGTACAACTTTTTAAAGACGAAAATGAAACTACGAATGTTGACATTGCTGACAATGTTTTGCTTGCGCTTTCTGTGGTATATCCTTACGAAAATATTAAAGTAACTCAAACTTAACGCTCATTCAAAACATAAATTGGGTTTCTAGGCTTTACAGAAGTTATAAGAGCAAATATAATCAAGAAAGTTATTATAACAACCTGGTGCTACTTTGTACAACAAATGCGAAGATCAAAACAAACGCTCATAAAAATTAAATTCCTAGTTTTCCTTACAGGATCTTTGGGCCGGATGATGTAGATATTCTTAAATAGAGCTTTTACTTTGGACGGGGTGCTTAAAGTTTTGTTTTCTAGGTAATTATTATGGCATAAGCTAGGGAGGACAACTTCAGGACGCGAAGCAATTTTAACTACGTACTACGATCATAAATAGCGTTCGATCGAGAAATACTTCTCGAAAGAGTCCTCTGATCATAGCTGAATTCTTATCAGTAAGCAATATTAGTTTGTAGATGCACATTACCTTTATAATGTGGGGTAAATGGTCGCAAAGATTGAGGCAAATCGAGATAAAATCTTAGTTCTTGGGGAATCAAAGGTTTGCAGACAGTGTTGCGGTCGTATGTGAGGATTAGGGAGCGACCTCCAACTTGATGGCAGAAGGTTTCCAACACGATCTCTGTGCTATCATTACTATTGGTACTGTTAGAACTAAGGTACGATCCGTTTAAAGACATCGGGTTCTCCATGACGTGTTGCTTCACATTGCATGAGCACTTGAATGATTAGATATGCTTTATAAATGCCAAACATCGAACTTCACCACAGGTAGACCAAACAGGAGATTCAAAACAGAAGACAAAAATTCGACCTCAATAATTGAAATACGGTAGTAAAATAGCATCCTTATGCAAATCAATGCAGCATAATCAATAATATTAAAACATTGATGAAATATGTACTTAAGAAAGTCTGCAAGCAAAGGGGAATTCGTAAGAAATCTCGCGTGACTTATAGTTTCGAACCTTGAATGCTCTTCCCCGATTAGATATACGATCCTACAATAACCATCTGTCAAAAAAGTGTTAGGAATATCCAAAAAAATCCAAGAAGTGGATCAATAGTTGTAGTACATTTGTTTTCAAGCTAAGATTATGTTTATTTGTTGTAAATTTCGAAAAGCCATCTTTCAAAAAAGGTGAGGGACGTTTTTTATTACGGGTAGGGGGAGGGCTGGGGAACTTACGGTCGTAAACCCCTTTTCATTAAGTAAAAAATACATAACCCTCTCATTAAGTCAAAAAAGAACTAGCTTCCGTCAAAATAAAAAAGATTCGACCCTCCACAACTGAAAGTTCATTTTTTGCTGACAACTCTTCCCCGTATGTGATGTCCCATCCCTCCCCCTCTCCACACCCCACATTAAAAAAAAATATCTTTGACTTCTCAGCAGGTGACGCCAGGAAGGAAAAAAAAACATTATTTTTCTTATGTTATTAACCCAAGCATAAAACGATAATAAAGTAAGAGTTAAAATAACACCAACATACAACAGATAGGAATATAGTTCCGAAAAGAAAAAAAAGCGTCTTTCTCACAGACAATTTAATTTTCATTTCGAAAGACATTGTGATAAATTTATATTTCCATCTTTTGTGATACATTAACCGGAATCATTTTTTATTCATTGATACTTGTTTTCCTTCGTTGTCAAATTAAAAAAGGTCTTCACTTCAGAAGTATGTTTTTAAAGTATAAATATCTAAGTTTGGCTTGACTTTATAACACAAGGTTTTTCTTTCTTTCTTTCTTTCTTTTTTCAAAGAAGAAATAACTGACATCATAGATATTGGAGTGAAATGGTTTGGAAACTCTAACTTCTATATTCCCTTATACTGTGAAAAAACCGATGAACTTTTCCTTTCCTGTGCACGATCAACGTCATATCAATGGATAAAGTCGAACAAAAACCTAGAACAATAGGTTTCCTCGGCACCCATTCCGCGCCATTAACTATGCTGACATTTATTGATAGATGACGTCAATGAAGCGCTTTGAAGCAAATTAGATCAGCCAAGGATTCGCTTACACGGTACGGTAACCTCACTCTACCCTTAATTCTATGACTTTGAAAAAATAGTTGGCGGTTTTTTTTTTCGTAATCAAGTGTGCTTTTGGTCTTTATAAAATTTGTTTAGATTTAGATAACGTCTAGTTTTAGGGTATGTCGAGAATAAGAAAATGAACAGGTTAAGATAAACATTTCGTAATATAGGGAGGGGCACTGATTTACATTTTCGTATAGAAAAGATTCGACTTACGGAGGGAGGGAGGGGTGTAAAGRATTTTATAGTGATATAACGAGCGCGGTTGGTAACAAACTTGAGAAAGCAAAAAATATTTAAAGCGTGCTGGTAAAGAGGTAAACAGCTGTAGGAAGCCTAATGTCGACAAGGTTCAAAAACTCCAAATTCCAGGCGGAAATGTTTGACATTCTATTTTAAGAGTGATAGCTTCATAGATGCGCTCTTTAGAAGCATAACTGACTAACAGGAATGAGATTATTCGGCTGTGATACAAACTCAATCCATGCATCTACTTGTCAGGAACAGGAGGTACTGAAACATGATCACTAAGATCATCATGTTGTGACGTCAAAAAAGCTCTCCCAATACTATGCGCATGTCCAACAACTTATTTGAGCCTCCCACATATGGTTTGAAGTGCCTTCAGGAGGTTACTGACCAAAGAGACAAGCTAAGAATCGCTGTTCATAGCAAGGGGTTAATCATCTTTTGCAAGTAAGCTCACGATTGCCGATAGTTGGTGAAGTTTTTCTTTACAAGTCGGTGTAGAAATTCAAGTCCAAGATCTGAGATTCACAGTTCAAGATTCAAGGCTCAAGATTCTCAAGACTCAAGAATCAAGATTTCTGAAGTCAAGAGCTGGAGTTGTATCCTCCTCCCCCTGTTGGATTATTCCCTAGGTTTGTCCTACTTCGACAACCTAGGAATATTCCCTTCAAGGGCACTGATTATTAATATTTTGGTATATTATTTTTTGGTCAAATATGTTCTCTGTACATAGGCCAAATACATTAGAATTAGGGCTTCCACGTCAATTACAGAGGCTTAGACAGCCGGTTACCAGGGATGAAATTATTGCGGACATTGGAAAAGTTCTTGGAAATGAATTGCGTACTGCCATAAAATGTGTTCAGGTGTCTAATACAGGTTATTCTTGTAGAGTAACGTTTAAGGAGGAATCTCATAGACAAAGGGAACAGTTATTTACGAAAGGAATCTATATTAGGGGCTGTTTTTGCTTTTTCAATGGGGTTGAA